CCCCAAAACCCCAAAACCCCAAAACCCCAAAACCCCTAATTTCTAAAGAATGATTGAAAAACGTTAAAGAATATTAATTTGAAATATGAAAACAAGCAAAGTATCAGGTATAAATAAACTGCCGCATACATTCTTCTACAAAAAGCCCTCGATGTCACTTGAAATCCAGCAGGACTACACCTTGAAGCAGAAGAAGTCAAGAGGTTCTAAATATAGACTAAACAAATCTAAACCCTAAGACTATGCTAAGAATAGACAGCGTTGATCGTAAGTTCACCTTTCTCAAACTCTCATTTACATCATAATTCCCGAATAGGGAATCTTAATAATTATTTTCTGAGAATTTCTCAAAGTAAAATCCATGAAATAATGCTCTTCTTCGTTTAGACTCTATTAATGAGCCACAAATCATGAGCACAAAATGAATGATGTCTCAGCCACATTACTTATTCCGTAAGAGGAAGAGTTTGAAGATGATATCGACTAGGAACACTTTCACAAGGTCCAAAACTCGCAGGACTTCTCCAAAGACAAGCAAGTTCAGCCCCCGGTCAGTGATGAACCTTAAATCCAAGGAGATTCTGTACAAATCCTTCTTGAAAGAGTTTAGAGCGGCGACCGAGGGCTATGGGAGAAATCTCTCTAAAGATGATTTAGAGCATATCTTGAACACTACGAAATATGTAGATTATTTGCACAAGATCACTAAAGGACTGAAAGAGAACCTGAAGCTGATCCTTCTCGTCATTGAGTCTTTTTATCAATTTCATTTAGAATATACACAGAGAGAGCATGGCCAATATGGAGCGATGATTACGAAGAAAGCCAATCAGCTCCCCTTCCGGATCCAGCAGAGCCCATCAAGGATTAATAATAGCTTAAGTTATGGTCACTTGAGCTCAGCTCAGGTATCTCCAAACTTTCGATCCCCAAGGTCTGCTAAAATTAAGTATGACGCTCAAAATCGGATAAAGAAAATTCCTGAAGAATCTGAAGACTTTATTCGACGTAAATTCTCAAAGTTATGCCTGAGGAGGAGCTCTTGACAAAACCCTAATGCCAAATGAACTGATAAGAGAGCTGAAAGGAAACCAAAGAAAGAGCTAAGAGTTCCTAAAACTTTGAATGCAAACTTATCTACTTACTCAAACATCCAAGCTTCAAACCCTAATTTGAGCTATTTTGTTGATAAAGAGAATTTCCCGAAAACTTCTAAACATTCAGTAAGAAAGGATGTGTTGAAGAGAATCAGGAAAGCTCTTGAGGAGCCCTCTTGTAACGAAAGTATCTCGAAGAAATCTCAAAAATCAACAGCTTCCACTAAGCTTCCTCCACAAATGAACATAGTTATGGTTTCTAAGAATTTGTCTGCTAAAAATATTAGTAGAGGTAACAAGAAGCTATTTCCTGGGAAAACGAGGAAGCCATTGATCAATCACCAGCTCAGCCAGAAATTAAAAGCCCACTCTCTGTATTCAGGTGATCAACCGCTTAAGAAGATCGAGATTGACCTTGGGTCAGATTCTGATGAAAAAGAGCATGATAACGACTGAGATGAATCTCTTGAGGAAATGAACAAGTGCATTAACGTAGTGACTAGATCTATGAACAGCGACGAGACAGCTTTGGTTTCGGCAACCAAAAACCTCAACCCTGCTGAAGAGAATAGTCTTCTCATGAATACTTCAGCCTTTTCAGGTGATTGTCCAAGTAAGATTGAGAAGGCACAGGCTAATTTTGAATCTCTAAGTACTGTTCCAGTGAATACAAGTCATCACACATGAGAGGTTGATTCTGAGGCAAACGTTATGCCTCCTCTCCCTCAAGAAGAGATGATTAGTCTGAGGGACATCACCAACCAAATCTCCCATTACACTGAAAGAGACTCTGAACCAGGAATAAAATCTAAATTAGAAGCACTAAATCCAAAGAAATTGGAGGACTTGTTCCTAATGGAAAAATACAAAGACCAAAAACGAGAAATTATATCTAAAGCAAAGGAGAATAAGGTCAAGATCCCCTTAGAGAGGATCATTGAGGCAGAGAACTCGGAGTACGAGTCCAGCACCTTCGATGATAGGATATACAACAGCTATAGGGTTAACCAGGGCAAGCCTAGTCCTCCTCAGAAATATAATTCTTCTAGGTACGATTATCACCCTGTGAAGGAGGTCTGTGTTAAGTCACAACCTCTTCTATATATTGATGTGAAGATTAGTAAAGATCAGGTTTCAAGGCTAGTTTTGTACAAGGGTCAGACACCAGTTCAAGCAGCTACTGAGTTCATCAACGAACACTCAATCCCTAGCCCTCTTCGGACATATCTGATTTGTAAGGTGAATTCTCATTATGAACGATATGTAGAAAACCGGAAAATGCTATCTAACTAATTCAATAATTTTGCAATTTAATGGGGTTTTGGGGTTTTGGGGTTTTGGGGTTTTGGGG